GAGTGATTCTTACTCGCGAAAAACCGGTTTTGCAATGTTATACATTTGTAAGACGGAGACAAAACGTTATGCGAGTGTAGCGTCCTCAATAATATTTGTTATTCTGCATTCAAAACAGTGCTGCCCGCAGATTGAATAATAGTATTAAAAACCAAATAATAACCAAAGTTATAAATAGAACGTCATTTCATAGCAAACTGTGAACCGTAAGATAATATAATATAATTTTCTTTAATATGATTGCTGTTTATTGTTTAATGTTTAGATGAAAATTGAAACGCTGAAAAGGGCATTCATACAATACTATTTTAATTGTGAATTCGTGTAGGTATAGGTACTAATGTCTATATGTAATGGAAACAAAAATATCTGACCCAATACTCGTAAACCACAATAATTTAAAAATGAAATACTGAAATAAATTGTACAAAGAACTGGGCGAGCTAATAGCCTGTTGATGCTAAGCCCCCCAGCACCCCTCCTATGTGCGCCAATGATGTACCTAATAGTGTTCAAAACTTAAAAATGTTCATTGATCATCTTGAGACTCAAAATACTTGTGTATAAGCACACTTTAAAATGAGAAATTTGGAAGAGGCTTTCGTAGTGTACACTTAAATGGTGGTACTACAAAGGTACCGTGAACATTACAAGACTCGAGCTATCATTGTTTATCTACGTTGATCAGTCAGTGAGTCAGTCAGGACACGTTAGATTATATTAAATAATAGCCTTACCTCCCCCCCCCCCCCGATACAATATGACATATATAATAATACCCAAAATATTATGCATAATATTGGTCAATATATTTTCAAAACTGTAAGTGTGTAAAATCAAATTTATCTTCACTTAATATTTGCTTCTGGTGAGCTCATTATGTTTATAATTTTAGAAGTTTTATTGTTTTTTACTTGGGTTTTTATTTGTAATTGACAAATTACAATAGTATAATGTTATTCAATATAACCACCATACATAAACTTTCAATAAACAAATCAGTTTTACTGACCCATGATATTTATTAAAAAGAATATAGGGCTATAAATAAAATGGATTTCTGTAATAAAACAGTTCATGGTACATAATAAAATTGAACAATATTGTAAACGAACAAAATTTGAACAATTAGTGTGCTCTTTATTACCTAATTATAGATTAACATTAGTTATCAAAGTGTGAAAACTACACAAATATTCAATTCTACAATATATTGTAGTTGTGTATTTTTAAAATTATAAGTTGCTTTCATTCGTCCAAAATTCATCTAATTTGAAATTAGTTTTTCCTCCATATTATACATATTTTTTAGTAGCTGCCTCTTAAATTGTGTCATACAACTGTTGGCAAAACAAATCAACAAAACGCACACTAGTGGAAACAATTTGTACCTTCAAATTCGAGATTAATAGATAATATTATCATTTTATGTTGGTTATTTTACTTTTTCTGATAAATTAATTTTGTTACCGAAACTTTATACACTGGTATAGGCGTATAGTTAACTGTATACGTTGGTAAATGGTAATTTCTACTAAATTATCAAATACATTCGAATACACTTCATTTAAAGCAAAACGTAGGTATGCAAAATGTTGGGAAAATCCGAGATTGGTAAATTGTGTCCCAAACGTCCCGGGCCCGGATAAAAAATTTTAGGATGCTAATTCTATTTTTAGATTCTGAGTGAAACGGTATGAATGTATTGATTTTACAATGATGTGTGTTTTTTTTAATTTTTAATTATTTTTTAATTTTTGAGTCCGTCATCTCGTTTCAGGACAGTAAAAATGCTTAGATTTTCTTCAACGGTATCTTTTCTGAAAGGAAAGTGAATCTAGACAATCTAGTTGGTACTTCAGAAAAATTTAGGAAAAACGGTGTAACTCTTAAACAAATTACCGTAGGTACATGACATTTTGACTGAATGTTTATTTTAGCATTTTCTATACACCATAACATTTTCCAATTATTTTGACTTATTTTGAGCTGTTTACGGACATTTTTAGTTTCTATTTTTTTAGTTTTCTTTTCTATAAATATCAATAAAAATTTATTTGTTGAATAAAAATACTTGAAAATTTAATACAAGGCTTCTACTATATTGTTTCAAAGACAGATGAAAAATATTAAAAATCGTTTGTCACAATCTTTTTTTATAAGCATTAAAAGTTCAAATATTGACAAAATACGCAAAAATTACGAAAATTTGCAAATTATTTTGAATTAGAAATTCATACAAAATTTTCTATTTAAATCTAAGATTTTAAAATGTAATACAAGATTCTTTATAAGAATTTTACTGAATGTTTATTTTATCAATTCTTATAGTTGATAAAATTTTCAAAATATTTTGATTTGTTTTGAGCTTTTTACGGACAATTTTATATTTAATTTATTTTTTTTTCTATGAATATCAATAAAGTTTTATCTATTGGGTCAAAAAGTAAAAACATTTAATATAAGGCTCCTGAAATATTGTTACAATATCAGTTGAAAAATATCAAAAATACATGGGCACAATTTTTTTTTATAAGCATTTAAAGTTTGAATTTTTACAACATTTATCAAATTTAAAATTGAATAATTATTTTGTAGTTAAAAATATATAAAATATTCAACTTTTATATCTAAGGATTTAAAATTTAAAACAAGATTCCACGTAAGTAGTCTATTCTGTTACCAAAAAATCTAAAAAATACACAACCACAGTTTATTTTTATAGTCATTTTAAGTTCAAATTTGGAAGAAATTACATAATAAAAAAACCTAGAATAACTATTTTAGTTATTTTGTTGTGATTGTATAATATTATTCGTGTTTACTTGAAACTTCTAAAGTATACTATTATATATCTATGATAGTACCACGGTTTCTTATTGATGTATAACGCATTATAAGTACCTAATGGATATTGTGATATGATTAATTTGGAATTTATAATAGGTCAATTTTTTTTTAATATCATAGATAAGTATATAATATGGCTTATACCTAGACTGACATACCTACCGTCTCCGCTCAGAATCGTTTTTCTTATACAATTATATTATATCATTGAATTCAAATTTAATACCATCCTTATACAGTGACCCACTTGTAACCTACTGTACAGCAGAGCACCTTTTTTAATATGTATTCATCTTTATTAGAAGTCAAATTTTATAATTATATTATTTTATATTATATAATATGATGTCCTCGGTATAATTTGTATAAATAAAAAAATCTTATTGTATAAATTAAAATATATTATATGTTTATTATGATACTATTATTTTCTTGGTAAAAACCTAAATGATCAGGCCGTATGGTATAGCATAGGCGTGCGCAGACTTACATTTCTGGTCGAGCTTAGGCAATTATAGTGCTCTAATATTTGGAAAACGCCCCTAATTTTATGTTAACACATCAACATACATGTTGATGTATAAACCTATTAATGTTTATAGTACTATATAGCTATTGTATTTGTATAAAGATATAATGTTTTTGTTAGATTAATAAAATGTAAGTAGTGATAGGTTGGTACATTGGTACACACAAATATTTTTGATTTTATATTATACTTTCACGACAAACAAAATTTCCATGATCTAAAAGAACATATTATCATACACCTATGGAAGGATACGTGGGACGCGTTCAAGCCTGGAGAATAGCTTTCAAATCGTTCAAGCCCGGTGGTTAGGGGGAGGGGCACAGTCCTAGGGGATGTTGATTTTGGGGGCCCATTTATGTCCCTGAAATATATTTGTTTAAGAGGCCGTTGTCTCTGTCTTACAAGTGCATATTAAAGGGAATTTACACTCATTTATTAATGATGTCTTCAGAATATCTTTTAGATTATTTTCAGAATATTTTTGAGTTATTAACCACCTTAACATCCCCAACTCACCACCGAGACCACTACCCGCCGCCAACCGGTAATCGACATTGTAGTTGTAGTTGGTGGCAGAGTGACGACTGCGGACCGATAGGCGGTAAGAAATTTTTTGTAAAATACCACAGAATAATAATTTATAATAGATTTATAGATATAAGATTATAATAATATAATATTTTAAATTTCTATTGTAATTGTATAATATTATTATATTAATATAATATTAATGAGTCATTGCATTAACCATAAAAAGGGCACCATTGCCGAAATACGAAGTGGGGCCCATCGGGAAATGTCCGGTTTCCCGGTAGGCTTATACGCCCATGGGGCCTACTAAGTGTATGGTGTCCCCCAGGGCCCAATATTACAGTGCTCGAATTGAGAAAAAACTAAGCATAGCAGCTAAATTTAAAGATTTAAAAAAGTACACAGATCCGGGGCACTTTAAAGCATAGGAAAGATAATAAACTACCGAATATAAAAATATTTTCGATATTAAAAATTGTAAAATTCATTAGATATATTATTGACGTACATTTAAATTTACATTTTAATTAAATATTTCGAGCATTAGTTTACACCCCCCCGCCCACAATAATATTTGGGATGTATAGGTATATCCGTCTCCCTGCACACCCCTCCTCCAAGTCCAGCACTGTGACCATTTTATATTAATGTCTCAAGGCGGGTTTCCACTATACACGTAAGTGTGTACATGCATATACAAATAATTTGCTGTGATTGGTTGGTTAGGTTAAGTTACCACACGATTAACCACGATATCGTGTTGTTGGACATAGCTGAACATTTGTCGTGTACACGGTAAACGTGTAAAGTGGAAACCCGTCTTTAGACAGAACGGACCACGATCTTTCGTCAGATCTTTGGAGAAGTCACAGGTCGACAAAATATTCGAGTGTGGGTATCAATTCGACTATAGACCAAACTTGGGATGTAAAAATCACGGCATTTTGCTTATATCCCGGACGGATTGGAAACGCAGTGTACGCCGGTGAAATGGTGTGAGGGGTGGAGGGAGGTGCCGTTGGTCGGGCTGCCCGGGCAGAGTCTTCAGTGTCCGGGGAATGTTGGTGAGGGAGAATGCGCGCGCCACCTAACAGGTGTTTTTTGAACAAACACGGACGGAGGCGTCGGAGGCTGCTGACACACTGTAACGTATTACAGTTACACTAGTGTACACAACACGTTTCCAGCTGAGCCTAGTGAGTTGCGAGTTTGCAATCTTTTCCGGTCTATCGACCATTCTGTACTTCTTATTCACGGTCGCGGTCGGTACTCTGGACATTTCGTTCGCGTGTATACGGTGTTCGGTCCTTATCATACCGTTCGTTATCTATTCACGTGCCGCGACGTCGCTTGTTGCTTGTATCATTGTTTTATTTGTTCGCTGGTGGTGTCGTGTTTGCGTGGTTGCCCACTTACACTATAATATCATCTATTGTTTATACCTACCAGCTCAGAGATGTCCGAATCCTACTCACGTAACTACTGGAAGAATGATGATATCGCCGATGAGATTAAAAAGTTCATCAAAAATCCTGATACGCCGGTGGAGATGACTGTCCCTAGAATGGAGAAATTCTTGAAGATCTCAAGTTATATGTCGTGTCGGGTACGATAGTTATTATTATGTGTATTTTTATTATTTGCCGTTGGCTTATCAATAATCTTGAGTATTGAGTCTGTGTGCCTATAAGTAGGCCTAATGTTTATGAATTTATATCACATTGACTATATTAAAAAATTCTTAATGGTCGGTGTACCTATTGATTTTATGCTTATATATTAAACATAAATATGAATACCTACAAAATTTTTATATTTAATTGTTTACCTATTAATAATATTAACAATCAGTGTCCTTTGAATACAAAATAGCCAATAGCCGCAATAGGTAAATATATTTTTGATATAATAACAATAGGCACCTAGTAGACGTAACAGTAGTAGGTAATAATATTAAATAAAATTTAAAATAATAAAGTAGTTTAAAGAAAAAGAAAAATTATTAAACAAGAAATGTGGGATCGTCATTGATGATAATAATATACATTGATTTGTAATTCATGTAATTCATTTTAAATTCGGGATTTTGAAAGGCTATATGTGTAGAATATTGTAGAAGTTTAAAGCTTATAGGAGAATAGAGTGGAGAGTCTAAAAAACAGACCACTTAGACAAGTTTTGACTAACACCTGTCAATTGTCAACTAAAGAGTCTAGGACAGGAATATTTGTGACTGGAGTGTAATCATAAGGGGGATATTAAATGCCTAAAATAAAACTTGCTATCCATTTACAGTATTTCTCAGGTCCCAAATTAGTGAGCCGTACCCTAAAATGGGTCTCACTAGGGCACAGTACATCATCTTTACAGTCTTATTTACTGTCAATCTTATAAAAAAATCAAAGAATTTTCTACATCTTACAGCATATCATACTGATATGATAGCTGGGATCCATTAAATTGCTAAATTTAGAACCGGAGATCTATGATATAACTATCTATTTGCAGAAGTATGGTGCGAATTAGATTATAGGAATCAATATAAACTGATTATATTAACCTGTATATTCACTAAGCATACATGTTTATCTCAACATAACATTCTATTTTAAATAGTTAACTTTTTTCTTCATTCACTAAAAGTGTGTGTGTATGTTAAAATACTTAAATTAATTACTGCATATTGATGAGTAATAGAGCTACTTGTAATATTTTAAAATTTGTTTCTAGATTTTAAGTTGTGTTTGCGATAGATGGATTTGGAATAAGAAGATTGATGCACGATCAATGATTTCTATTTGTGACCGATCTCTTTGTAACCATAAACTATGTAAGTATATTGATACCATAATATTATATAATCATAGTCAGATAAATTTTGTTTGTTTTTTATTGTACCTTTTCATTATGACTCTGTTGTATATAATTATTAGGTTAACTAAAAGAAATAATATAATTAACTATACTAACTACATGAAATACCTGAAATGGCTATAATTTATGTTAGTGTCATGTTTAGATACTTGTCAGCTACCCAAAGACAAATTAACAAGAAAATCTATCTAAAAAAAATATCAATTCAATATTCTGGTCATACGACTTATAACAAACAATTATTAATCATATTTTTAATGAAACTATTTATGATTTAATATTTACGTAGACACTGTACAGATCACAGACTTAAAAATATAACGATAGAGCCCATTGTATAATGATATTTTCAAAACTGTTAAAAATAGTTTATTTGTTTTTTGTTTAAAATTAATGATAACTAACATTTTGATAATTGAGAATGAATAATAATAATAATAATACTAATAATAGTAATATTACCTATTGAAGATTATGATAATGCATAATTTCCTTTTATGCTCGGAACCTTTATTAATATTTATATTAATATATACAATCAATTTTAAATTATGTTTTATTAGATGAGCATGTGTCACATATGGTAAATGCTCCAGAAACAGTGTTAAACCATTTGACAATGTTAATACTTGATTTTGAAAAAAAAACTAATAAAATAGAAAGCCTGTTAAAGTTGCCCTCTAGTTATGAAAGAAATTCTGAAGTGAGGAGTCATGAACAATTAAAAGGTCTCGTTAATCATGTAAGTAAATAGTTTAATCAAGGTTCAACATTTGAAGAGCTTAGTAGTTTAATATGTCATTCTAAAGTAAAGTAATGGATCAGGGTACTTTATGTACAATGTATATACTCCGGCCCACGAGAGATCAGTACCGCTATTCGACCAAAACTCGTCCGATTTCGCTCATCTCAAACTCAACCCACTGACAGCGTTTCAGCAACTGTCGCTGTCGGTTGGCAATTGCGACTTTTGCGGCACATAGTAGGAGAAATTGGGCTCTGCACTGTCGCTGCCGGTCATTCTGCATGCGCTTGACGGTACTGATCTCTCGTGGGCCGGAGTATAGATGATAAATAAATAAAAATGACCATTTATTATTATAATTTGTTAAATTAATATTATCAGGTGTCATATTTTTATATCAGAATAATTAAAATATATAACAATTGTTTCTTTATCACATTGGAGGTACATATAAATAAAATATCTAAATCAAATGTTAAACACTTAACTTTATTTTTTCCAATAAGTCTAGGCCACATACGTTTAGCATACAATATAGGATACTAATGCTTTAACTTTTAAGTATATATATTTAAAATATGTATATTTTGTAAATAGTTTTTTATTTGACTCAACTTATTAACTAACCAACATATTTGAACATATATTATATTTCTTAATAATTTAGAACTTAATTACAATTCATCCAAATGGAAAAATGGTACTTGTTATATTTTGATTACATTTTCATTGGGAACACGGTTAGGTTAAACCTAACATAACTTAACTCTCACCTTGTTATTATATTTAGAACCATTGGTATAAATATTCAATTCCTCTGGTGCTATTAATACCTTTAACTGCTATGGTTCCAATTATAATATTGTAAATAAAAGAATTTTATTAATATTTCTTGATAATAATTATTAACCTGTGAACTCGTTAGTGTCCCATGAGGTATGCGTTTATATGTTACTTCATAGACATGTATATTGTTTAGTAAATAATAATGAGCAAATTATGTCAGACCACTTAAGCCAAGATGAATGAAAGTATAACATGTATAATAATACTTAATAGAAGTTTTTATAAAAAAAAAAAAAATAACGAAAATAATACTTTATGTGTATTTACGTAGAAAATTCTGATGATATGGGTTTTAATTTTTTTAATCATTTAAATAATTCATTTAATTCTTACACTGAAATAATGATAGCATTATTTTTTGTGAGATGTTATAAAGTGCATAATTTTGTCTCGGATTCCTTGTTCTATTTTTATAGAGTAGTCTATAACAACAAAAAAACAACACGATACAAACAATGTTGCATAGTGATACAAATGACAGGTTAAATTTGCTTATTGTTGATAAAATAATATTAAAACTAACAACAGTCATAAATATTAAATAAAAAATATTGTCTTGAATTTTATTGAAAAATATTAAACTTGTTTGATTGTTCTGTAGTTCCCCAATGATTGTACTGTATTCAACATCTATGAATCATTGTACATAAGTACCCTTATCTATAACTTTAATTTACAATGACATATTAAACTACTAAGCTCTTCAAATGTTGAACCGTGACCTCAGGTTCTGCCATTCAATTTTTTTTTATTTATTATTATGTAACTTGTAATTTATTGTCTTTATTTGTGGTTTAGGAAATAAAATTTTTTAGAGATCTTGATTCTTCACCTGAAGATTTATCCAAAAAACCGCCATTCGAGTCTCCAGCTATAGCAGATATTTTTATGCACTTTTGTTTGTTTCACTTTTCACGTGATACCATTGTAAGTCATAAAGAAAATTATACAAAATAAAATAATAGCTTATTATTGGCCACAATTGAAAATTAAAAAAAAAATTTTCACTAAAACATAATAGTGTTGATCCTTGATTATAAATATTCGGTTAAATTATGAAATAAAATATGAATATTTTGAATTTTTTTGTGATCTTATATTGAATAACTATCAATAACTATCAACAATGGGGCATGACTGCATGAGAACAGATAATATAACAGATATTGAATATTTTATTTCAAAATTACAACTGTTAATAATTAATTCAATTAATAAATAGGTTCTACAAAGTAAAATTATTTTAAAAAAAACTTGAACTCACAACCCTGAGATTAGGAGTCTGTGGTTTAACGACTGAGCCAGCTGATCAGTGAAACTCTCATTTCTTATATACTATTGCTTAACTAAGTATACTATGTTGCTTCATAATCTATTGTTTATAGTCTACTACAACTTACTGATTAAGGACTTAACTATATATTTTGTTGTACACTGGATAAATATTTTTATTAACCTAGTTTTTAATTCTTATGCATTGCAACATTTAGCAACATACCTGTATTCTAATTTAATGTACACAACCAGTATCAGCATGGTCAAGACTGAGGCCCTTCCGTTGTTGACACAATTACATATATATATCTTTACAGGGCCCCAAGGCCGTTTATTAAGGGGCCACTTAAAAGAAGTAATCCATGGTCCTTTGGTGTGCCAGGCTGATACTGTATACAATATAATATATACGCGTATTAATTACTATTATTATAAAATATGCTAATCCAATTGAAGAACACACTGTCAACATCAATATCAATATTTTTTTATTTACATAATTTGGATGTATTTACAAAAATATCATGTCATAATCTCATAATTTAAATTTAATATAATATTAGAAACACTGTTCTTTTATGTATAATATTACATTAATACAATAATATTACCTTACCTATATGAATATACAATGAATTTAATTTAGCAACATAGTTTAATTAATAAAATAATTAATTGTATTATATTTAAATTTTAAACAAATTTTCTTATAATTTTAAATTTATTAAATTACCCATAGTAAAAAAAAAAAATTATATGTTTTAGGAATTAAAAATGGCATTATGTATCTCCAGACAAATTTTAGATTATTTTAATGATTGGATATGGGTTACTCCTAAGGAGCTTCCATTTCTCAATAAATTTAAACTCAATAACAGTTATACATTTTATTACCAGAGGTATTTAATACATTTATTATTTTCTACACACAATATTGTACCTATATAAATTATAAATTAATGAATCAATTGATATTTTTTAGGTATCAAGAGTATTGTATTTCTTCCTTTTCCAATGATTCTAAAATAGAACCAAGTTATTCAAGCAGTATAATATTTGGCCAGGATGTATTAAGATATACCCTAAAAATATTTAGAACATATATCACAAATTGGTGTATTATAAAATCACAAAATAGTTCCTTCTGTAAAAAACGTTCATTCATGAAATCGTTTCCAAAGTTATTATACTTGAAAATAAATTTGATTTCCACAATAATTGTTTAAACACACTATAGTTATACTTAATTTATTTTTGATTTAGTTTTCTGGATTTATTAGAACAAGAAGTATATGAAATTGATTCGCCTATATGGGATCCAAATTTTACAAATACTCTATCTACAAAAAAAATCTTAGGTATGTTATTTATTTTAGCTACATATATTAATACATATGTTAATTTAATCAATTATATCTTAGATAGATTAAACTTAAAATTACATGAATTGACAAAAAATCAATTTAATGCAAATAGATTGAATTCCAATATACCAGGAAGAATAAACAACAATCTTTCGAATGGGTAAGTATTCTTAATTTTCTATTACTAATATATTTTTTTTATTGCTATCCATAGGCGTGCTCAGGAATTTTTCACAGGTGTGCAAATTATTCTAGTAGGGGTTACTGCAATTCAGTAAGATAAATACTGTCTCAATATAATAATTAATTTTAATTTTAAAATAAAATGATTATTAGTTTACATATTATAGTCATATTACATATTATTATACAACTAGCATTTACATTTATATTTTATAATGGTAATCTTCTTTGTATTGGTGTTAGTGTTTTAAACTCATCAATAATTTCAACAAAAATTCAACAATGTATTTTGTTTTTTTGAAGCCATATCAATTATAATATAATTTCAAATATTACGATTTAAGAATTAAGATTCAGACATTCAGCATATTAATTACAGCACAGAATAAAATTGACATGTCTATGATATTAATCGTTATTATTTTATTAATTGAAAACCAGATACCTAACTGAAAAGTGATAAACACAAAAAATTGGAGGGAAAAACTATCAATCAAAAATTCTAGTACCAAAATTCGTAGTTAAATCATTGACCACGGTCATGAACATAATACCAAATAATACTACAATCGATATTAGGTATTGCGTTATTATCTCGATGAACGGATTATTATTTGTGTAATTAACAATTGTGTATTATACATAATAATGTTATATATTATATATAATATGATACAGAATAAATTATACCAACTATCAATAATCAGTTTTAAATAATTAAACAATGTTTCATCAAGAATTTAAAGTAGGCACACATTTTTGCAGGGTGTGCAGCTGCACACCCTGCACGCCCCGTGCGCACGCCTATGTTGCTATCATAGTAATTAATAAATTATAAATTAAATTTGGAAAATGTTTATTAATATTTTAAAATATTTTGGTATGAATATTATGACTCACACTTGTGTAAGTGTATTGTATATTATATTTGAAAACATAATGTAATCATTGTTTTTACGCTGATTATTTAATTATATTTTTAATATAAGTTTTAATTTATCTAGCTATAAATTATAATTTAGATAAAATTGATTTTGATAAATTATTTTAGAGTTACATTAAAAATACCAGATGTTAAACATAATGAAATGTTTAAAAACTATGTAGCAACGGATACAATTTTTGATACATTTGAGGATATACATTTTGATGTTGGTGCTAACACATCTTTAAAGGTAAATATACTGTATAACTATCGTTTAACTTTGTCTCGTGAACATTCCAATTTACATTCTACATCCTATATAGCGTCGTTGTCTATTACATCCAGTTGGCCTATAAGTACCTATAATAATAAAAGTTTAGTTTGATATTAATTTTAAATTATAAATGATATACAACGCCTATACTTTTATTATACACACACCATCGACGAGGCCTAAGTTTATATTTTCTGTTATATTCGATGAAAAAAAAGCACATATTAAATAGTACATTCATAGAGAATCATTTAATTTATTTTTCCTATTAGCTTAATATTACATTATTATTATAATAACTCTGATTTCAACTATTTAAAACCATACAAGTGATTCAATTAAATGGTTCACAGTAATTGTCAAAAAAGGTAAATTTAATTTTACAACACTGAAGTAGGTAAGTGATTTGGTTTATGTTTTTATTTTTTGATTCCAATAAACAGTTGATTCTGTAAAAGAGACAACAGAGATCACATTAAGTATACTTACGGTATTAATATTTTTATCTAACTATATATTTAGTTCATTAGTTTAGTGCCGTACTTAAAATATTTCCGAATACTAAATATTTTAATATTTATAATTATGATACTTTACTTCAATACTTACAAATTAATAACAACAACAAGTAATGTACCTAATTACAAATTATATTCATACCTAAGCTATCTCCAACAAATATTCATTTTTTTTTCAACATTAATTTCCTACATTAGTTATTAAGTTTTAGGGATGTAATAATTGACTAAATATTAAAAAAAAATTTTATTACTTATTTTATATTAATTAGGGTTCTATAAGAAACCATAAAATACGTCGACCTCCAGCAGAAGACAAACACTTAGGAATAGAAATGATGGTATTTGATAGTTTTTCAAATTTTACAAAATGTGTGTTATGCCGAAAAGAGCTAAGAAATATGTACCAAACTCGGTTGCCAAGACTTTCAGATACATACATTGCAAGATTGCAAACAGACGAGTAAGTATATTGTTAGTTGTTTCCTCTATTATAGTTAATTATTGAAACTTATCACTTTAAAAATTCCTCAGAAAAAATGCACATATGTAATTTAATTGTCATAAATTTTTAATATGTGGATGTATTTACCGATTGAATTTATTATTTTATTTTGTTTTATACTTATACTTATATCAACTAACTAGGTCTTATAGAAATTGTGTACATTTCTTATTTACTGTAAAATATAGCAATCATACATCTGGAATTTGAATTTGCATATTTTTGAATACTTACTTCATAGGTTCCCAATCAAACTAAAAAAAAAAAAAAAATGGGTATAAAATATTTCCAATGCATATCAGCATATATTATATACTCGATGTTTTTGCTACAACATTAGTCAAAATTACTTGTCATGATATTTGATTAGGTATTCTATGATATGAATGTAACAAATTCTTAGGCCTAGGTATAAGACAAAATAAATAATTATTTTTAAAGTAATATGCCATTCATATGATTTGTTTTTGAGCTTACTTTATTCTTTCAAACTAAATCTGCCAATTCTTATATTCATATTTATATATAATCTTTTGTAATTAGACAAATACAAACATTGGCTATGTTGGAAGACGGTATTCCTATTGGTGGTATATATTTCCGGACTTTCAACTCTCAAGGATTCGCTGAAATAGTATTATGTATATTCAAAGTCGATTTACATGTAAATGGATATGAATCGCGTCTAATGAATTATTTAAAGGACCTTCATATTAAACAAAATATATTTGATTTATTAGTGTATGCTGATAAAGAAAAATTTGGTAAGGCTTGTTAAGTATAATACTTAATAATCATGATTTAATTATTACATTTTATTTTTAGCATTTTTTAAAAATCACAATTTTAGTTCAGAAGTGAAATTGTCAAATAAAAAATATAAAAAGTATATAGTTCACTATGAAGATTCCAAGTTGATGCATTGCAGTCTAAAGAAGTGAATAATAACTTACATTTTCTAAATTATAATAATATTAAATAGAAATTTAAAAAAAATATCCAATGGCCAAAACACAAGACTGTTTTCAGAGAAAACTTAGTATTCCAACTTGTTTTTCCCTTGTATTCTCCCAAGAAAATTTTATTTAAGATGAATATAGTCATGATATAATATGTAGATTTAATAGTGAGAAAAATGTTTTATTATTAATTTTTAAAAATATTATTTTTATGTTTTTTCGTGACAAATTAGATAATAGTATAGTGTAGTATAATATAGTATAGTATAGTATAGTAGGTACAGTAAAGTATAGAAGTATAGTATCCAGTAGAGTATATAATATTATATGCAAATCTTCAAATTGTTTTTAATCAGTATTAAAAATTGATTGAATTTGATCACGTAATTTTGTTGAAAATAATTGTTGACAGTTGTACACAACAATCAAAAGCTGACAACATTTGTCAAAATCTCTTCTTCCACTAGAAGAGGCTCATAACAAACTATATATTAAATTGGTTTTAAATTTGGTATCATATAAATAATTTATAATTTTGTGAGGTTGAGTGGAATTAGATATTACTTATTTCAATGTTTTCCTTTGAATGCAACTCAAAAGAGTAGGTACTTTTAGATTAATATTACTGTTGTACCTATACAAGATTTGAAAAATGATATTTCTTTGTGGTAAATTATAAATGTATAATTAAACTTTAGGTTATGATTAAAATTAAATTAAATGTTTTTATTTTAAGAAATAATAATGTTTAAAAACATCTAACTTATTTATACCTATAGGCTATAAACTTTATTTTTGTATTTTAGGTGCTCTAAAGGTTCTAAATTAAAAATATTCCTTGTTCTACTGTTAACTACTTGTCAATTTGATTTTTATGTGTATCTTAACTTTTGTAACTTTAATTTGTAACCCAATAATGGTATTAACCAGTAAATCTATATTTTGGAAAACTGATTAAAAAAAAAATATCATTACAATGTCTTATAAAATAAATAAACATAATACATATTTTTTTTTCTAAGTAATTTGTTCTCTAAATTCTTATATTATAAGCTAAGATATGTTTATTGTATATTGTAATGTTTGAAATTATTTGGTGTTATAATAAATTATTAATATATATATATATAATTATATAATTATGGTACACTGTTATGTATTATACAAATGTTTTACTAATAATGTAAAAAGAATGATGAAAGATTCTTAATTAAGAGGAACACTCGCATGCATTTGTTGTTTATGTGCTACATTCACATAACATTGTAACATACTAAGTTAGGTGTGTAATTTCTGTATATCAAATATTGTTTTGTTGTTTTTAATAAAAATAGTAAGTAGGTACATATGTGTAAGTTTTTAAATTAATGAATATTATATTATTTGTCCTCTCAATGGTTTTTAAATATTTTAATTCCAAAGCAAGTTATATTCTTCTTCTAAGCCGTTTAACGACCATTGAGGTCAATCATCGCAGCAACAGCTTTCCTCCATTTCTCCCTGTCGCTTGACACTTACTCAGCATTCACAACTAACAGTTAACATTAAAAACAAAACAAAATCTGTACAGGATGAAAAAACATTGATGAAAGATGACCTACTAATATATTAACTCTGTAGACTATATCAGCGGTTATTAGCCCCCTGAGGGTCCGCGGTGGCTCTAAAAAAATTAAGTATTAAGCATTTTTTTGAAAAATTTGGTGTACCTAATAAAAACAATTAAAATGTGTGTTTTTATGTACCTACTCATGTGATTTGTAATTTAAAATATTGGTAATGCCATAACATGAGTTATTTTGTAAAAAAAAGGTATTTGAAACAAAATTGTCAGGGGTCTGTGTTTGCTACAAGTTGAAGAACTGCTGAAGTATAGTCTATAATATTATATACTTTGTTATATAGGATTCAAAGCTGGGCAAGTTAGTAATTTTTTTCAACTAGTTGAAGTTAAGTTACTTTAATAAAAAAAACTAAGTTAGAATATAAGTTAGTTTCTGAAATTGTCCAAATTTCTAACTTACTTAGTTAGAAGTTAGTTTGATGAAAATAGTAACTTAAGTTAGACTAGAAGTTAGAAGTTAGTTTTTTTTTATAGATTAAAAAACTTTTTTGTTCAAATGTAAATAATAAGTTATCAAACTTGGATTATTCATGAAAACTGAAAAATTTAATTAAACACCTAATAATTAATCAAATGTTCTAATTAGGTAACAAATAATTTCAATTTTTTAGAAATTAATTGGTATATCGGTTATTAGAACATAAATGGTGAAACAAAATAAAAAAAATATACAACAGTATAACAACATAAAATATAAAAAATAAATAATAATACATAATAGTCATAATATTATCTATATTTATTCAAAATATTTGTTAAATTTTAACAAAAGTGTCATCTCGAAGTTATCATCAGACATAGACAAAGTCTCTAGACGTGAGCACTAGAGGGAATACTTGTATTATATTGAATATACAATTTTTGTATTTCTTCAGAAAATACAGTTAATGGTAGTTTAGGAGAAGAGTTTGAATAATCATTAAATACATTTTGAAGTTTATCTTTTTCTGGATTTTCTATAGCATCAAAATGTAAAAAATCATCATATGTGATTTCATTGGTATCATCATTTAAAATACGGTCAGTGTTCTGCACAATAAGCTCAGACAATCTTGCTTTTAAACAATCTTTTTAGCTCATTAACTGTTTCTACTTCAGCCCAATTCCACTTAAACTTTGGTTCTAAAATTTCAGCTAATTTCATGTCTAAAGATTCAAAATTTGAATCAAATCTATAAATGAAATATTTCATAAATAACAGTTCTCAGTCGTCATGTGATTGTGTGCGCGATTCTAGAATAATCGCACGTCGCGACAGTAGATATTACTGATATTGTGATAATATATTAATATATTATATTGTTAAATATAGGTAATACTGTAATAGTAATATAGGTAAATGGGTAAACCACCGATAACACTACCAAGGAAATTCGGCACCGGGTCTAGTGTTTAATGTCTACACTCGGTTTAAGCCACCCGTATTATAGATACTATATTATTACTATTTATATCTACTTTCTACAGATTATGCGGAAAAGCCATGGTTCCCATGCGTGCATTATTATAAAAAATACTAATAATTAATATATTCTATGAGCCTATAATCTATATAGGCATACATATAGGTATAGTAATAATGTCATGATAAAGGAACAGCTTTTGAAATTTTGGAAATGAAAAAAAAAGTAATAATAATGTAATAACTAACTAGTTAGTTTTTTTTCTAACGAGTTAGATTAGGATTATTTTACGCATTAAATTCAACTCGTTAAGTTTGAAAGTTATTGTGTATTAAATCTAACTAGTTAGGTAAATTAGAAAGTTACTTAAAAAGTAACTTTCTAACTTAACTTTAACTTTCTAACTAGTTAGTGCCCAGCTTTGATAGGATTACAATAATAAAACTATCACACCAATATAAACCATAGGCATACACATAGGGCATGCAGATGCAGCATGGTATATTGCACTTAAACTTTTTTTCAAGCAGCCATGGCCATAATAAATTTTACCTTGATGAAATTATATTTACACAAATTATCAAAATACGTAGGTATATAGGTACTTAAATATACAATGTAAATTGTAGCTACACTTCTATACATTATAATTTTTGCAAGGCCAATAACTATAAGCATGTAGTTAACGTGTATTTATGACCTATTTTGAAAGCACACAATAGCTCTATTTTTAAAATATAATATTGGAAAATGTTCTAGATTAATCTTATGCTGGCCCTAGAACTAGAGTCTGTGCATGCCTATATTATAAAATGTCATGAACTCATAATTATAATAATTTAACTACTACAACCATACCAAAAGAATCGTAATCTTCACAGTCACAAACTATCATAATATAGCCATTATAAAATTGATGTGCATGAAAAAAAAACAAATAAATAGGTAGGTAATATGGTAGTTCTTAAAATATGAAACATCATATTTTGTAGGTAATAGGTATGATGTAAAATAGAAACAAGTTTACATAAAAGTCTTAGGGCCGATTTCACCAAAACAGTTAATCAAGATTAAACTTCGATTACGCTTAATCGGCTGATACTTTAACCCTGATTGACTGTGTTTGTGAAATCGGCCCTTAACCTTGTTATTGGCAATATTTCTTAATTCGAAAATATCTTATGGCTATAGCCTATAAATAGCATAACTATCCGGTACATTTTTTTTTTGTTAACGGTTGGACAATTTGTGATAAATGTTCTAATAAAATTTCTAATGTTTGATATGAAATGAAAAACTTTTATGAATTTCTAACTGAAAAATAATTTACAACATAAGAGACAATTCTCATGTCTCTAAATTTTATATAAGAGTAAAAATAGTTTGAAAATTTAACCATGAATGGAAAATAGTAATTTTAACATTTGCTCAAAATGTCGAGTGTCTACCATTATTTGTTTTTGAATTACAACAAAATATTAAAACCAATAGATGAAATTAGTTAATTTATTTATGAAAATCCAACATCATAAAAAACTTAATGTTACTTACCGGTAAACATTGTATTTTTGTTAAAGGTAGAAACATTTATAGGGGAATCATTTATTAAAATGTCTTATGTTTGCTAGGGAATGTTAGCTATGGAAAAAAAAAACGTTTATGCATTTCTATAGCTGAAAAATGATGAATTTTGTCAAAGTGTTAACTTTAAATGCATGTAAAAAATAATCGTGGATATGTATCTTTAATATTTATGAATTTCCATTAAAGAAGAGCCTAGCATTAAATTTTCAAGCTTATTTAATCAGTAAAAAAGTTTTAATCGAGAATAATTTTAAAAAAATTTACAAAATTCAAAAATTTTCTCAAGGCTATAATATAGCTCAAAATGAATCAAAATCTGTAGAATATGTTACCACATATCTAAAATGCTAGTATAAATATTTGGTAAAAAT